AAGCGTATCTTTCTCTTCCTTGGCATTAAATATACGGCTTAGTAGATTTATTGTTCCAATAATAAATAATAAAGTAAAAGATTTACAATTTTGATTTTATAATCCAAAACCGGCAAAATGAAACTGAAGCGATAATAGGTTCTGTCTGTAATGTACATGACTTATTATAATTATCTCTAGGTTAATATAGCCCTTTTTGACTATTGACCCGCATAATTAAAGGATCAAACTAAAGAGTCTACCGTCTGCTTCCGATATCCAGGATTTTGTCGTGTACCTAATCTGAATTTTTATTAAAAACCAACAATATATTAACATGGTATTAATCATGTTAAATAAATTAATATTACTGTGACTAAACGCCTGCCAACGGAATCATTAAGTTAAATTAGGTTATGGTGTTGAGGATTACCCGGTATAGTTAAAATGCAAGTGTTATATTAAAATTAAATCTTTCTTCAATTTTTTACGCCCGGTTAGTAGTTTAGCTTTTAAAACTGAAACTTGTAAAGTGTAAATGGAATTTGCATGATTAATTTCCCGTTTCATAAATTGTTGTCACGTCGAAGGAACGCCTTCCGTCCGTTTGTTTGCATACATGTCGCCGGTGCACCGCGAAGAAGAACAACAGGAAATATGATTATAAAAAGGAAATGAAATTAATGTGAATTGTAAAATGAATGTTGGTACATACTGATTGTCATTTTGTCCACGGTCTAGCTACTAATCTAGAAGGGAGTTTCATTTATTATTTAGAAACAAATATTCGGTTTAATTCAGTGGGATCTAATAATAATCGTGCCAATATTGAAGATATGTCCTAAATTAGACAGTTCTCAAACCAGTATCAAGACTGGGGCAGTTGCCAGTTCTGTCTTTGTCTTTGCCTTGCTTTGTTCATCATTAATTATTTTCAATAATTGCAACTGCCTACCTATCATCATCACAGTAAGGTCGTCAGTCCTAAAGGTGGTTGGACACACACTTTCACTCCTTCCTATTCTGAGCTAATCTTCGCAATTCCCTAAAACTAGAACATCTCATATCCGTAACTATTTGTAAACAATAATCTAATCAAGGTCTACCCTAACTCCTCTTTACTCCTGTTTCTGCCTACTACCTATATTCTAATATTTTCTCCAAGCGTCTGGTCGACACCAATATTAAGGAATCATAAACAGCAAAAATTTTAAGGTAGTCTTAAAAATAAATATGAACTTGGTTATAGGTATATACCTGAACCAGTTTACATAACGTATAAAAGGTAGATGTATACTGTACGAGGGTGGATTGATAAGTTTCCGGCCTAACCAAGAGATGACGCCACTAGGCCTACCTTGAGGTGACATTCTATAGTACCATCCTTGGATAGCTTGTAGCTATAGTTTCAGCCCGATCTCCTTGCTAGTGTAGGTTTGACAGCACGCTGAACAAGACGCCTCTGTGGTTTTCGTAAAAATGGAAAAGCAGGAAAATCGT